CGCAGTTACCCGGAGTCGGGCGGCGAACGGCGTCATGCTGCGTTCGCAAATTTCATTTGAATTCTATTAGACCCGTTTACATGGCCGACAGAAAACCGGGATGTCGGAAACGTCGCCGTCGTTCATGAATATGTCCGAAGATTCATTGTTGTACCACGCTGGCACGGAGATTTACGATTCACTCGGTTTGCAGACCTTATTCCCGGCCGAATGCGAACACGTCGAATCGGCTGATACCGTCGGTACCCACGGGTAAACGAACCTTTGCTCTTTCCACGTGGATACACGGATTCAACGCTAACACTAGCGAACAATTAAATTTTGAAATTCGTCTATGGAAACTCGAGGAGTGCATCTATTGGGACTTTAGTTGGTTTCATTCAGTTTGAGTATTGGTAGATCTTTAATAATTTCTTAAAAACATCTGTTATCTTTTTAACCCTTAACGTTACATGAATAATAGATAACGAATGAAATGAAAGAATGGAATAAATTCGATTCGAAATGTTTATTTGCAGAATCTAACCAAATGACAGAAGCAACTAGTTGGCGAGAGGAGCGTATTACCGGGACGTTTACCTTAGTCGAGCACGTGCTCGTTCCGTGTTTCACGATTTCAATAATTGGATGGTCAAGCCGGGGAGCGGATCGATTTCGCATAAAATATTCAAATACCGTACGAATTTATCTTTCCGAAATTCCAGCCGATTCATCGACCACCGAATTCCCAGCTCGTCCCTTCTCGTTGTTTATCGCTTCTAAAAAAAGCTATTCCGGAACGAGCGACACGTTCGCGTTAAGTTATCGTCCAATCAATATTCAATGCCATCGGAGTTATAAATAAATCCTGGGATCTTTCTATTTTTGGCAACAAACACGAGGCGCAATTATGAATTTCCGAATACTCGTCTTTTCCTTCCAGGTGTTACGTCGATGGTGTCATCGGTTCCAATTTTAAGAAGACCTCGAGGTTTACCTCGCGTTTCTTGCGGGATCTTCGGATTCCAAGGATCGCGTATATATCTCGGGCTCTCTAATTTAATTAACCGCGTCCTTCGGTCTCAGCTCTAGAATCCAGGCTTCCCGGCAATGCCCACGAAATATTTCTGACGTTCGCGACGCACGAAAATAGCTTCGATCGTATCGGAATCGATCGGATACCTTACAATCGACTACATAATGTATCTTCAAGAGCTGAGCCTCGCTATTAAATATTTTTTCTCTTATTTGATACTTTTACGCTCATGAATATCAAGTAATTAAACACTTGTTGACTCGACCGATCCAGACACTCGCGGGCTGCGCAGCCTCTGAATTATTCGATCCGCAGAGCGACACGCGAGTCCCCAGCTGTTCCGGATCCCTGCCGTTAGGGCTATTCGCAATATGGCTCCGGAGCCATGAATCGCTCAGTGTGTTCTGTTCCATTAAGTCCCTTGTACATGTATTTATGAGCGCATTACCTAGCTAGAAGGGTTCGATCGAATACCTAAACATCCATCATTAAAACGATAATGCGTGTCGCAAGGCGTCCGCAGCAAATCAACGTCTACGTAATACCACGCTCGGAATGTACTAAAACCTTTGGCCTTCGTCTTATTACTAGAACTAATTAGACGGATCAACGTCATCCTTAATCTATCTTCTTACAATTACTGAAAAGATACAGGCTGATGTGAAATCGGTTGTCTTGTATGTAATACGATTGGTTTTTAAATCAGAAAAGATTTGATAAATGCGATTTCGCGAATACACGCTATAATTCTCTGTTCTTGATTCCCGCGATCTATATAAACAAATTGTCTTCTACGATAGAATAAAGTGTAGAATAAATCTCTGCGAAGGAAATGCTAAGAACTCTGAACGTTCGATAGTTCTATCGTTAAAAGCGGCGGCTCGAATCTCGACGGTCGATTTCGCTGTAAAAATCTCGCGATGACGCCGAGGCGTTTAATTTTCACGCTGGATCACCGAAAAGCCGATCGCGATCGGCAGCGAAATAATAATCCGACCGACGAAAAACGCGTAGAAAGTTACGAGCGACGGCGGTCCCTAAGTACGTGAGCACGATTCTCACGGAATAACTGTACACGGGCGTGCACGCGACATACTAAGCGCAAACCAAATACGATCGGTATTTGATTGAATACGCACGCGCATTCTTGACCCCTAGTCCGCCGAGCAACCGGAACGCGCCGACTTCTGCTGTGCTCAGGATCCGTTTTCGTGGCTCTGGAAACCGCGATCTGTCCGGAATCTAACGGAACCACGACTACGAATCTTACGAAATTCAATTAACATTTTTACACTCGGGTCGAGTTTGAAATTTCCATACGCCGCCGAATTTCTGGGCAGGTTGCGCAACGTTTCGCTCTGCGAACGGATCGCTGATATCTACGCAGTTTCCTGTTTTTCGTTCGTAACTTTCGAAGATCGACGTTCAGTAGGAATTTCTACTGATTCTCTATTCATCAATTAGGTGTTAAATACGTTTCAGATAATGCGAAGTTGGGGGAATTCGTGTCTGCGATTGTTTATAGGATTTTCGGCAACTGGTTTAGAAATTGGATTCTTTCTGAGAGGTTTCTATTTGATGGGATTTTTATAGATTTTTATTAAACCTTTGAGTTCATTGAATTTTGTAGTATTTCTGAGTTGTCAATGATTTCTTGGGCCTCTCGCGTATGTGAAATTCTTAAGAATACAAACGGATTGCGCGAACGAGACGTTGACAGGTAACGAAAGGAACGAGCGGACTCGAGACGATAATAAAGCGGTTGCTAACGCGCGTTATATGTCCATAAGATTCGATATACGTTCTCGATTTAGTTGCCAAGTGTCGTATACTGTGTACTAATTCTGTACCAATTAAACTTGTTCCAATGAATAATACATTTACCCGATGAATCACACGTTTCTCCTAAGGCGGACGCTAGCGGCGCGAACCTGTCACGTCTAAAAGCGAATTATCGTTAAATTGTTGTGGCGTCATCAACTTTTCGCGAACGATACCTTTTACACTGGAACCGACGAGTAAGAATGACTATTCCGAAATTCCCCGTGAAAATTACGAGAAGAGACATGTTCATCGAAGTTTCGCTTATATTCGAATTTAGACATCTACACCTAGATCGATACATTTAATCGTTTCTCAAACGGATAGTTTCTACTGTGAATAAAAAGTGAAATTCTATATCCAACGTACAAATATCAGAAAAGGAAAACCAGTATCTTTTGTTACCATAGATCGTTAACGTCAAACTTCATATTCACAAGGAAAAGTGAAAGAATACTCGATTATCATTCTACTTTCAAAACAGTGCTCGCAACGAATGAATTTCTTTCCTCGCAATTATTGACATTAAAATCAGCTCGCAGCGAAAGAGAGCAAGAGGAGGTATTCGTAATTAATTATTCGTACGCAATATTTCGGTGCAGACACGAAACGAGGCGACGTTCGCGTTGAAAGGGTTAAAATACAGAGCGTTCAGCAGTCTGCGGTTTCTCGGTCGCGAGTCGCGAGAGTATTTCGTCCGCGCGACGAATTCCATTGACTGACACCGAAGTCAGCGGCTTATGCAACCCACGAATCGACGGATCGTAGCCGGCAGGCGATAACTTTCACGAATAAGGGACGCAGAGAGCCGCGTGTCGCGTCCGAGGCCGGCTATTAATTATTCTGGACGGGATCGTCGGTACACGTCGGAATGGGATTATTTCGTACGGCTCGAGCGGGCCACGGTCTTACGCCTGTTTTCTATGTCACCGTAGAAATCGCCGGAAGTAAAGGGTGCGCGGCTACACGAAACACCGTGGTTTCTGGTGCGTTCACCCCTCGTTTCGCGATTTCTTTCGCAACCGAGCTCATCGCGACGATTCTTTTCTAAATTCGGACGTTTATTCTACTTTATTCTATGATCCGCGGATAGATCGATGTTCTTTCTATTAGATCTTCGAAATTAGACGTTTACATCGATGGAAATCGATGCTTACGTTCATCAAATGATGTCTAGAAATCCAGCGTTCACGCTTTGAGCGACAAGCGTTCGATTTTTGGGAACGAAGAAGTGTGTTTACTTTCTCACGTGTTACGTAAGGCAAAAACGAGGCAGTAAAAAATGGTTTATAGCAGGCGAAAGTAGAAGCTTCACGGTTCATAATGAGCACAGGCGGAATGTCGTACGACTTTTTATTGCGGAGCTATAGTAGTGCGAAGAGCGGCTATGTTTTCGATTGCAACGCAGCGATTCTTTGATTCTCTCGAGCGTATGTTCGTTATGTTTGACAATTAGATTTTATTATCATAGCGGCATTGCAGGCGCAGATGATTTGCTAAATAAAAAAGGATTCTATGTTCAATCGAGAAGTTAGAGAATTTCAGAGGAACGATATTGCGCGATTTTCTGATTTCGCTCAAAGGGGATACTGTTTTTCAATTCGCTGAAATTCGCGTCGCTGTTTGCTCGGTAAACAGAACATATCGATCATTCACCGATTGTTTCGATTTCATAGCTTTCGCGAGAGTCTACTGCAAAAAGGAAATCAAGTAGCATTTGTTGTTCGCGAGCCGGCGCGTCAAAGTGAACGCAGCGCGGAAGTGAACGGGTCGAACGAAAGGCTAATTAAATAATGGACAACCGATTTCGCGTACGGGCGCATGTCGTTGATCGCCGGCTTCCCCGTTCCCGGCGAGGCGAGCATTCTTCCGCGAGACGAGCCGAAACAGATATTCGAAATTCCAAAGCGACCGGCAAAATTGACCGTTCATCGCTGGGAACGGACGAGCGTCTCGAAGCCGAGTTGAGCGCCGCTGCTCCGGAATGCGTTAAATAACTCGATCTTCGAGAATTAGCGCAGTTAGATCTCCAGTCCCGTAGTCGAATCGGCGTAAACAAACAAAACGCCTCGACCGCGAGGAGTCCGGCGCGTCGAGGCGCCGAGAAACGCGTCGCGCGACCAGCGGAAACGGAGCGCAGAGAAAAATAGAAAATCAGACGCACCTCGTAGAAGATCCATGTGGAGAATATAGTTTGAAGGAAGTTGTACACTATCAGGATTTGTCGGAGGGTGAAGGGTTTTTTGTTTTCCATTAACCTCGGTCCCAAAACCCTGCTGAAATAAGCGTAACCGAGGCATATCGCCACCGTCGGGAAAGGACTGCTCATCATCGCCCAATTCTTCACCCTGGGATCTAGAATCAGAACACAGTCCGTTAGAACGTGCGCGGGGTCACGCAGAGGGGCGGGGGTATGTTTCACGTAAAAAAAAGACAAACAAGCAAAAATAAGA